TTCGACAATATAGCCAAGCAATTTTTGACCTTTTCTGACCATGAGACGACACGGTTTAGTTAATGTCTAAAATGGTGTCCCGAATCAGTTTATTTGGAATTTCGTGTTTGTGGCAACTGCCATGTTTTATCGCTTGCCAGTGAGCTGCCACTGCCAGTGGCAATTGCCAGTGGCAGGTGCCACTTCCACCTTTTATCCCCTGCCCTGTATCCCCTGCCCACAGTTTCCAGTACAGTCCGGTTTTCATCTTTGGATACGATAGAGCAAAAGTAAACTTGGAAACGTCCCGCCTGTGAATGTAAAAAAGACAGATGCATGTAAAGATAAAGAATAACTGGTGATTTGTTTTGCAAATTGAAACGTGCTGAGAAAAGTCGGCAAGACGGGCAAGTCATCCCGTACAGCATTGTGAATTTGTACAGCAACACAACACTTATTTGTACTGCCAGACTGTACTTATTTTATTTATATACGTATTTTTTTCGTATGAATATTCAAGCTGACCCTGCCGCAGTCCGTAAACTTTCATCGCGTTTCGTCAAAGTAATGGTCAGCGTAATATTATCCACTGTGACGCGGTTTGCCATGGCAAACGCTTGCTGCACGGCATCCAAGATTTTGCCCGAAGTCTGCCAAAAAAGGCCACGTACAGGTCAACAGCTTTGGAGCTTTTTTGAATGCCCTTACCGTTTTGAATGGGTTTGTGGAAGCCGGAGGTTCCGACAGCCGTTCGACGTACAATGTAAACGTTTCTTTCGGAGGACATATCTGCTCTTCTGCCGGTAGGGAGAGCCACTGATCCTCTCCTTTGCAATCCCGAAGGGTCAGTGCTTTAATCTTGTCCTTCCAGTAATCTGGTGCAGCAAACGTCGTCAGTTTGTATGGAATGCTAGTCGCAGATAAACGAAGCTCCAGGCCATCGAGTTTGCGGTAGATTATGGCAGTATGCAGCAGTCGGGCATCCAGGACGGCCCACACCCAAGGTGAGGGTGCATAATGTAAGATCACAAAAAAGTTGACAACCCAACCATCGGGATCGAAGCCCCAAAGACGAACTTCCGCTCGGCGATCAGAATCTGAGAAAACAAATACTGAGCTTCACGTTTCTTGTGTATTGCAAGCACGTTGTAGCAAACGTCAGTTACGTCACCATTGCCGATGTTCAGTTGTGAAGTCATAAGAGTCTCCAGTCGCGGTAGCCACTGGACATTCAGCGGTCGATCCAGATACATGCGAAACGAGTATGACGGATTCTCTGGCGGTCGGTCTACTAGATGAAGACCGGTGGTGTTTATATTCTTTATACGAGCCGTTCCGGAGTTGAGATAGTAACGATCGGTATGGCTAACCAGTGGAGTTAAATCGATATGACGGGCAAAGATCTTCTGCTGCACGGCGATCACAAAAGGAATGTTCATTGCCATCACGCTATTCGAAACAAAAACCGGTTTGCATCTACGTAAATACATCTCACACTCACAGGCCTAGTGTACCACTGTACAATACATACAGCCGTCCAATAGACTACCACTTCTATTGGCCCGCTCACGTTAACGATAACCAGTTTTTCATTCTTCGCTACCAAAACCGGTTAACTGGTTTCGTCACATGGGGCAGTGCTGATTCTAACATGCGTGCGTTTTGAATGAAAGCCGAAAGGGTCGCTGGATATTAGCAGGTGTAAGAATTGCGTTGAGCGTTCGCGTTTTAAATACCCGAACAATTTTGCAAAAGTGCAAAGTGGATGTGCACAGCTATACCGTATCGACAGCTATTAGAAGCGCGTCTAAAAAACTGTCCTTACTCAGAAAACGTGCCATTTAACCTGGATGTTACGATTTCCCGGCTCGAACTGACCAAAATGAATTTCCACATCGTTCATGTTCGCCTCGGCGCAATTCAGTCTATATTTTTGTTGAACAAGTTCCATCATATCTGGTTTCAGCTGGTCGGTATCAAAAACGCCGTATGTAGAATTTGCCCGCAGATAAACCTCGTCCGTGTTGATCATACCGTTGCTCGTGTAAAACGTTGGACCCTCGTATTCTGTCAAACCCTTGTCCTGCAATCGTTGAACCAAATCGCCGACAGAAGGCGGAACGATTTGGGTCTGTTAGTGGTACAAGGAGCTGGGATCGTACATCCAGGAAGACCGCGTAAGATTGCGGGAGAAATTTGCAGAGGGCAGCATCAGCGCTGACCTGCATGCTCGTAAAAAATATATTTAGTCTGTCGTGAATCGCACATAAGCTATAGCCAGCGGTTACCCGTTTGCTAAGCAATACACGGTCGACCCATTTTCAAATATTCAGGATTTCGGCATGTGTCGCTGTCCAGTTGCTCCTTTCTAAATAATCGAAATCACTCTGCTACTACTACTACTTGAGTTAGTAATGTCGTGGTAATCGTATCTAGACTTGGTAGCCACGCATAGGTAATCACATCTTGCAGCTCGGTTACGGTTCGGTTATTAAGCCGTAGCGCAAGCAGGTGTTGGCTTACAAACTCATTCAGTTCAAGGTACGTTTGGAAATTCTGCATGAAGAAGTTAGGTGGAACATCGAAGATTATGCTCTTCATTCCATGTAATTGTAGACTAAGCATGCCATCATAGTGACGTTGTCGCTGTGTAGCATACACGTTTGGACATAGGTCCACTGTTCCTGGCAGGGTTTCAATTTCCTGTAAAAGAAAACGTTGCGCCTTCGTCATGCTGAACCACATACCAACATTTTATAAAAAACTGAAAATAAAACAATCGAAATAAGTATATTCCGGATGGGTACCCTGCAACACCCCCAAACACGACCATTTATCGATGTAAAAGTGCACAAACTTTCAACTTTCAATTAAATCCGTAGTTGGCACTGGCAAGAGAATTTTACCTAATTCGCTGAAAGGGGTCGATGTGTTAGTAAAGGAAGAGCGTGAAAGCTCGTTGGCGGTTTGGGTGTGGGTCGACAAAGTGATTGGTAAAGCTACCAGGACAGAAAGAAAAATGAATAACGTGAACTTGGGTACCCCATGAAATCGGATCAATCGTTCTACCCCATTATCCATGCTGTAGGAATTAGAGACCAGTACATCAGCAAACTACAAGCATAACATTAGCCGGAATGGCTCTTATACTTATGGATGAATATATCATATATACAATTATGCATCCGTTTAAAGTACGCCATCCGCACTAAATGTCAAGTTTCATTCTGAATTCCGGTTAGCTCGGTGCTAAAAAATTAGAGTACTCGCATTCAATATAGTACAGGGCGCCTTAATCTGTTTACATCATTAGAATCGGTTGCAGTGCTGGAAAACAACTCAGTCACTGTTACAATTAGTGTTGGGCCGGCCCGGCCCGAACGGCCCGGGCCGAGGTCGGCCCGGCCTTTTTGGGAGGGCCGCGCCGGGCCGCGGCCCTCGGCCCGGGGAGAAGGGCCATGGCCCGCTGTGGACGTTAAATATGGAAAAAGACGTAGAAAAACATAAAATTTCGGTGGGATTTACTGAAATGTAGTATTTTTCGAGGAGTTTTTCTTAATTTTTGCAGCATTAAACGTTTCTAGGCGAATATCAGTCTATTTTTCGTTGACAATACCTGCTCTAGCCGCTTGCATAATGACATCCGGGAATGAAATATTACTGTGCTACAAGACGGCCCGGCCCTCTTGCTCGGGCCGACCCAACACTAGTTACAATGCTGTTAACAATTTGTGCGCTCTATTCGAACCTATTAATTTAGCAACTGCTTTGCTATAAAGAAAACGCTTTAATTACGCGCTTTATCCTCTCCACAGGCACAAAAAATTAGTAAGATACTAAGAATACTGTTGGATGTTCTTCTGCATTATTTTGAACAAATGTAATAGCAATGGCACGCGGCTCCTACGGAAATGTGCAATCCAGACAATGCTTCGAAGAACAGTGTGTGTAATGACAATGGTTATAACAAGATACGGGTGTGGCAACACAGGTATTAATCACCATTAAATTTTGGCCCGTACACTGATACAAGTAGGCACTGGTTAATTAAGGGGTAAAAACGTATATAAAATACGGTAAACGTATATAAAATACGGTAATAAAGGCACATTGATCACAATAGACATCGTTCGGCTGTCGGACGTTTAGTTGAGTGAGGAATGCCACAATGAGGTTGTGCTGGATGGTTTATCTAACGAAGAGATGTGCGATTAGTGATTACTTAAAATCGGTATGGGCCCGGACGCCAAAGTGACGTACACGCCCACTAAGTACGGAACGTTAGCGCTGGTGTCACTGTCACATTTCAGTGGTCACATTTTAGTGGTCATTTTAGTGACTGTTTTTGCTAAGTAGTACAGAGTACTTGTGAACGGAGATTAAATCCGTTTAAAACTTTCGGCAGCAGTTCAACATACCTGTTGATCTACAGTTGAACAGCAAACGGTTAGAGCGTCAACGATTTTTGATGTCAGTTACACTATATACTCTCATCATTTTTCGTGTGCAATACACAGACCGAGCTAGACGCCGGGAAGAGGAATTTCTCAGCCGACATCTGTATGGCTGAGAAGTATGTCGATATGGTGAGCAAACTGAATAGTTTTCTACCGTGCATGCGCTGCATTGCCAATTTGCCCCAAGTACATCAGTTTAAGTGGTTTGGTATTGGCTATTTTAAGTGGTTAGTACTGGGTGCTATTGTCCCATCTTCCAATGGGAATACTGCCGGGTTAATCTACGACAGTCGGGCTGGGATCGACACACAGTTGCTCAAGAATGGTTATGCCCAGTATGACCGTTGGTAAAATAAGGAAGTACAGCAGAATGTTTTACTCATTATTATCGAAAGAGATGGCAAGTACAAATTGACACACATAATAATTATGTAACATTTGCATCTCGACAGTTATCCAACTTCTCCATCTCCTTACACTACGATAATCCGGCAACTTCAGTAAAAGCGTCGTCTGCAGGGCTGGCAGCGTTAATCTCTGTGATACCGAATTACCGACATATCGTTTTTGTTGGGTAATACAGATTAATGCACCAAGAGAAATAAGCAAATCAAACACTTCTTTAGCGCGCATCCAACCATTTCCAAATCTGGTTGCGTCTTCTTAGGGGATGCCTTTCTCAAACCCATCACCGAGTCAATGAAATGACTAGCATGCATTTCTCCAAAAACAATGCACTGTTTGAAACGGAAGTAATCGCATAAATATTCATTACAACTCTATTCGGACCGCTTAATTAAATAAGTGCTCCATAATTTATGCAGCTAATCACGCCAGAAAAATCACAGTGTAGGGAATAAGCTGACGTGGAAGGACGCATTCAGTGGAATGTCCTGCAAGACGACCTGGTACGCCTGGCCCACTTTAATGACATGTGCAAAGCCCCGGCTGGCTTCCGCTCGCACCACAGCAAAGGGCATTCCGAACAGGTGAATGTCGCGGACGATCACATTGCCGCTGTTGACGTTGGCACTGGCGTCCACCGTGTACGTGAAGGTGCACTGATGCGGAGCATTCTGGCGGAACTTCATGGAGGCGCGCAAATGCTTCCCACCGGAAATGGCATCTACGATACAAAACAGCCATAACGTCCCGCATCTGAATACCATCTTTTGTCACCAATAACTTTTTTATAGGTATTTCATATTTACCGTTTAAAAAGTCATGTTTTTATACTATTTATGTGTATCTTGCTTTTATTTTATTTTTTCATGGTTTATATATTGTACAAACTTTTTGTGTTTTTTAAAGGCATCATGTTGGATGTATGTACTATAGTATTGAGAATTGTACTACGTTTAATAGGATAGCTCACTCACCAATAGCTTCGCCATCATCCCAGTAAAGGTCACCGTTGGCCGCGTATGTATCATTCAGAGCGACAATGAACTGGAAGGGGTTGCGTCGGGATTCGGCGGTGTTCTTGCCCGGGACTTGCGCCGGGAAAATGATCCCGCCACGATAATGCATACCGATCTGGTCGATCTCCATCGGCAACGTACGACTGCCCTGACGCGTCACTTCCGGCTGCAATGAATGACTTTCGCTTTTATTATACTGCATTTATGCCCGAAGTACTGTATTTAATTTGTGTTTTTGATTATAGTGATTTTGAGAACCCAGAAAAAAATTCTGCTTGTGCATACTAACGTTCTTCCCAATCAAAGTGACTAGCAAAGCCATGTTTTGCAATGCATGCATGGCTCACCCACAAACCATTTTACTACGATTAACCCACATTTGCAGTGAATTGTAATGGCAGCTAAAGAACAATAAGTGCGCATAGAACATAACTACTTTACGTATGTTTTAATGCTGATATTGTATTTTGGTTCAAATGTATTTTTGTTTATTAATAAAACTGCCGGGATTTACAACCAAAATTTATTTGATATGTTGTAAAAATGCAAGGTTTGCTTCGTACCGTTCCAGCGTAGTCGTACCACTTGGCATCGGGGAAGTAGACACTGCGTGAGCGCCACCCATCTTGCACGACCGGCGAGATCATCAGACCGGCACCCCACAGGAACTGGTCGTTGATATCGTACGTGGTCTGGTCAGTCAGGAATTCGTGGTGCAGCGGCCGAATGACCGTTGAGCCGGTAGTGTGGGCGTGGTAGAAGAGGGTGTACAGGTACGGCAGCAGACGGTAGCGGATGGCCAGGGCTTTCTTGGTCACATCGGCCACTAACGGCCATTGTGCCGGATCTTGATCCTGAGGAACAGGTGGACAAATGAAGTTTTTCGTGCTTGGCACTTAAGCATATTATAACAGCAGCAAAATCATTATTGATCAATATTCTGTGTTATTAAAAACCTGATTCATTTAAATTTCCGATAATAGATCGATATACTGTAATTACGCACAGCATGTGGTAGAAGATATAAAAATAGCGTGATTAATTGAACGAATAATAATATCACGTAAGTTTTATCGATGCAATTCAGTAACGCATCACATACATAAATGTTGTAGAAATATATAAAATTATAAATGTACAAAAAAACTGTAAAATTGCCTATTAAGTTGCTAACTAATGCAGTTTATTCTATAAACCGATAACCATACTTTATAGTGGTTGCCGTTGTGGTTGCGCGCGTACGGATAGAATGCGCCGACTTGCTGCCAACGAGCACATAATTCCTCCGATGGTTCATTAAAGAAACCGCAAATATCAGCGCCAATCTATAAGAAAATTGCACGATATAACACAGCACTACTAGCGATGAATTAATAGTAATAATAATGCTGGTAAACTGTACATAAGGAATTCCGAAGATGTTGAACTCCAGCATCCCCACAATGGAGTACTGCAGATCGCCCCAGTTGGCCGAATTGTCGCCCAGCCAGTGGCCGACATGCTGGCCGTTCCCTGGGTAGGTGGAGCGCGACACCACCAGGATACGTTTGCCGGTGGCCTCCTGACCGGCCGCGAAGGTCGGCTCACTCTGGCTCCATCCGTACAGATTGTGCACGTCGTAGTGGGTGCACCGCTGACCCGGCCGGCATTCCTGCTCAGTCGACATGCAGATGGTGTTGTCCGACAGACGTCCCAGACCTGTACACAAAAGGAAATTACATGTAGAATAGTAAATTAAATATTTTATAATAAATAATCAAGTGTTAATGTGTTATCAACGCCGTAAACGTTCAGTCATGTGCAAAAAACAGGATTATAGGAAACGTCATGCACTCAGCTAAATAAAATTTTAAAAAAAGAATACAGTAAGGTGCAATGCCACAGACCTGTGCAAAAAATGTATATAATTGCAGCAAAATTTAATAAAATAAAATTTTTAGAAAAAACTATTTAATACAGTAAGAAACAGTTCACACTAAAATAATATATGGGAAAAGCAGGCGAATTGCTATGCGATTGTACGTACGGCCGGTGTAGGGTGGCTGTTCGAGACTGTTTTGTGGGCAGCGCAGACCCTGGCAGGTGTGGTTCCCAGGCAGGTCACCGCCGCAGAACCACTGGCCCTGGCCGTTGGTGTTCGTTCCGAAGGAAGCCGGTTCGTTCCTAAAAAGGCGGCTTAAATAATTAACAGTCACTGGCAAAATCGTACCAAATATATGCCCCAAATTATTATACCAAATATCTGCACCAAATAGGTGAACGTATCGCTATGTGGATATTCTGCAAAAAATAAACTTATTGATTTTGATATTTATACTATCAGATACAGAGAATTTACCCGTTTCACAGAAAACACTAAATAAAATTTAATAGAAAATCAGGCTGTAACTGATTCGCACTTTATACTTGCAGAACAATACTCAAAATTCATAGTTTCCACCAGAAGACTGTTATAGCAGAAAATACACACATGTCGATCCATAATCCATCAAATTTGAGTGTCTGATGCTGCTTGACAATTTCGTTCTTCCACCAGGTTTTGGCCTTCTCCGAGAAGAAATCCGGGAATGCCGCGCGTCCATCCGGCCACACTTTGCCCAGAAGAATGTTATTTGGACCCACATTGATGCTGTGCACATGTGCAAAAATTAAAACAACTTGAAAACACACAAATGCATGCAACTACATATACACTCATTAACTAACAACGTACATTGATGGAAGATGCATTTACGTAGTGGTGGAAGCGGAGTTTAAAATAATTTTGGCGGTTAAAGGCTTAAAGCAATAAGTCTTTCATAATAGTAATCATTGAAGCATAATAGTAAAATACATGGGTAATATGTAAAAGTAATCATAAAAATATTTATGAAACTGACCTGTCGATACCGGTAACGCCGTGCGGCCATTTAATAAAGACATCTTGCATAACACCATTATCATACGGCAGATACTGCGGATCTTTGGGATGTTTGATCGGGGCATCGGAATGGATAGCCGGATCCTGTCAACATGACCTTTTCAATCAAACACAACAATTAATCACATCGCGTTCTATTAACGCACCAGAATGATAACCGCCCGAATACCGTCCCGCTTCAGCTGGTCCACATAGGCGCCCAGTCCGTTGTAGTTATCATGGTCAATAACAAAGTTCTGCCGGAAGCGCATATCTGTCAACAGCGATAAGGGAGAACAATGCAGTGCCACGCATTCATTGCTAATATTAGTTCACGTGAACCAGATAAGACCGGCATTGTGAAAATGACAATGGGACTACATACAATCGATATCGAGTGTTTGTACATCTTGTGGCACGCCGGCCATGCGGTTGCGGTTGATGATCTGCTGCAGTTTCGTTAAGGAGTTGTAGCCCCAACGGGATAACTGGAAACCCAGTGACCAGTAGGGCGGTAAGAAAGGACGCCCCACCAACTGTAAATAATACAGAAATCCTGATATCAGTGTCCGTATTGAATTATTGATAAATGCGAATACATGTACAAGTGCGATAAACAAATCAGCAATCACAATTATACATAAATTTATTTACTAATATTATTATTAAACTGCATTAAAGCACATTAATATGCGGTTTGGAAAGCAAATTAATGTGCATTCCGAACCGATAAACATTGACCCATACCGCTGTATACTGTTGGGTGACTTCTTCCGGGTTGTCGCCCAGAACAAAGTAAAAATCCAGAATACCGCCAATCAGTTTCAACGTCAACGTAGGGCCGGGAGCAAATTTATATTCTATAAGAAATGTGAAATAAACTTGGGTAAAATAACAAATATTATGGAAATACATTACAGACGTATTTGATAAATCATCCCTATGTGGTAAGTAACAGTAGTAACGAGTCCGTTAATTATATAAGGTGGCTAGAACAAAACGTCAAAACCCACAGATCCCAGTTGCATGGAAAAAACTGCAATCATGTAAAAATACCTTCACAGAAATCATTGGTCTTCGCTACGGAGAATGCAAGAGCACGACAGTTTATCTCTGCGTTCTTTAACAGCGAATGGTAGTGTAATGGCGCTAAAGTGAAATCCATGTGTTGAGCGTTCCAAAGAGCATGCACGCCAGATCAGGGCTGATTAAAACCCGATGTCTTAATAGTACAAAAGTTTTTTTACACTTTTGCGGAAAATTTTTAAACATACCAACGCCTGCAGAACGTTTTTACTGTAACACAGAAGCTGTAAATGTTTACATGCGATTTTTATAAAATTGCGAAGATATTCATGGAATCAGGTGAGGTGCAGTAAGTCGCTGACCAGCCCGGCAATCTGATATGTTGGCGTCCATATCGTACTTACGCAATAATGGAATACAACAAGCGCCTTTCTCACCAAAATATAAAAGAAATAAAATTAAATCATCTATTTAGTTACTTTCACATTTATTAATATTTATTATTGTTTTTTCTTTCTAACAATCAAGTTATTTTCATAAAATTATTTGTAAAATTATTTCTTAATTAGGGTCGGGATTTAAAAATTAAAACATATTTTTCATCTGCCGTCTCACCCATTCCGCTGCTGGTGTGCAGCAGCACGCCGTGCGCCCGCCCATCGTTGTCCTCCACGACCATATAGTACGGATGGAAGCCGTAATGGTTCCCGTTTTCATAACCCGGCGGCGAGTCCTTCGTCCACATGGGCACGGCGCCCACGTTCAGATTGTGCTTGAAGGTGCGATGCCGGTTCTCCCCAAACCCGAAGATCTTCTCCGACGGAAGCTTGGTCTTAATCTGGATGTATTGATCCTCCAGGATCAAGCCGGCCAGGGAGGTGTCGAACAGGACAGTGCCGGTGGAGCGGCGGATGACCTTGAAGTAGAAGTACGGTTCCTGGTACACACGCACCTCGTAGTCGGTGGTCGTGGTGGATGGCGGAGGACGGTTGATTGGCGTGGGTACTTCGTAGCGGGAGCGACCGGCATCGTAGTACTGCATTCAGAAAATAAAGGATCGAAAAGTCATCGGGGGTATTTTTTATCGCGGAAACCAGACAAAGGAAAAAGCAGTCACCGGTTTTTAGTTTTTACTCTAAGCGACGGGATTGTAGTATGGTGGCGCAGAGCCGAGGCTGCATGCGCACGAGAGATACGGCATACATACCAGTAGTTACACAGTTTTAGCTGCTCCAAAGTACAAATACATCATTTGCCTAAAGTTTTTAACGATAATTTCAAATTTTTTTTATATTTCACTGGGCGTAATCACAAAAGTCCGGAAGATGACTACTGGCAGTCGGACGCGCAATAATTGCATGTACTCGCGCACTTCCTTCTGCCTCGTCTTTTTATTGCGATTACTCGTAGTAAGGAAGTAGATATAATCTTGATCGCAGAATTGCACTTAATGCATTCATTTCTTATTGATCAACAAAAAGAGCTGTGTTTACCTATAGTTACATATGAACCGAGTATGCACGTGCGAAATAAACTGTCGAGGGTCGATCCACAATAATAAATAAAAATAAACGCGTCAACGTGCGAGATAAAAAAGCCTACACGTACCTACTTCTAGGTAGATACTGTAACATACCTTGATGCGCAGCACGCTCTTTCCCACATGTTCAATATCCACACGGACGTCGGCCCAGGGTGTGCTGAAGGAATTGCCGGTATAGGCTTTGGTCAGCGCGAAGGTGGCCTTGTCAGCCGCGGCGGCGCAACCGTTGCTATTGTATGCTTTCGGTACATTCGATCCGGGATGGAAACACCACGGCGCCCCGGTGGACTGTCCGTTCGGGTACTGCGACGGCTGCCAGATGCAGCCGCGAGCCACGCAGCCGGCCTCGGAAGCGCCCCAATCCGGGTAGCAGTCCACGCGGTCGAAATCATCGGCTTCTACCGGCGCCCTTTACATGGCAAAGCACACGAAAAAAAAATCAGTGCCGGTTCTTGCAGAATCCAGACGTAAATATTTTTATTACAGTATTTATAGAATTCTCTGAAGAAACAAATTAACAAATTATTTTTATATGAAAAAGTACTCTGCATAAAGTATAAAGATGCAAGTGCATTTCTCGCAGTTTTCGTTCATATCGTTATAGGTTCACGGCATATCTTTTTTGTTTATTCACTGTATCCAGTTATTATGTATGTAGTTATGTACAATATTTTGCTAATTACAGTATAATGTTGATATCTGTGCGTTTGTGAAATTATTCACTGAGAGCAATTTGTTGATTTCATCTTAATATAACCAACCACCGTCGAAAAAAATAAACTCGCATGGATTCCTTACAGATTCTCATTGGGTTGGGTTGCGCACGTAACACCGCTTCCAGGATTAATCGGCGCTACCGGGGTGGTCGTGGGAATCTCCGGGGTGGTGCGAACCGCGGGCGTAGTGGGCACCGTAGCAGCCAGTTCCGTGGGCGATACCGGTGCGCCGTCGCATGTACAACTGCAGCTGGATTGTTTGATCTTCAGGTGGAAGGAATCCAGGGTGCAGGCCAACTGTACATCGCCATCAGCACGCGACTCCGCTTCAAACAGCAACATATCAGTTATATTTGCGTACACATGCAGTAAAACACGTTTTTTGTATACGTACCGGTTGCGTATGGAATGCTGGCGAGCGCCAGAAAGAGAACGACGGGAACCATCATATTTGCGGCGTTCCCGACACGAACGATTGTAATTATTCAATCAGCGTGTATCAAGTTTATATACTCGTACTCGTATAAACGTTTACGCTTAGTATGACAAAATGGATAAGAGAAACAAAGCTAGCCGAAATTTGATAAGACGGTTAAATTCACGATTACACCATCTTACAGACGCTTCTCGTAATCGTTCATATTTAATATTGTGTGTAAAAAAACGGCTATCGATATCGCTGCAAAAGCGTATAATTATGTACTTGACTGTGTACGACAGGAAAGGTCTGTTATCATTGAATCGCTGACTTTATCGGAGAAGTAAATAATGTAGGTACTTGCCGAAGAAATTCCGAATTACATAACCATCCCGCAAAAAACCTGAGCTTTATCGCGATAAACTACCGTCGCAAGTGAGCGTCTCTGTATACCTTTCTTTCTAATTGAGACATTTCCGGAACACATGTTTCGCCTCAAAATACATATGACGTCCACGCCTTTAACCGGCACCCTGAACATGTGATGTTTGTCACTAGGTTCCTGCACACATGGCATCCCAGTGCCTCGAATATGAGTCGATTGCAGTACTCAACAAGCATTTGAGAAATCGTAACTTTATAGTCTTCAATTACCGTTTCTGCCGGTTTTTTATGTCACCGCGCTACCGCATTAAAATCATCGAGGGAAGTGAATCCTTGTCGCATCGAAGAAGCCGTCAAAACGTCATCGCGGAGAGCAGAACAACAGTCGCGACACTGAGACGCGGTTTGTCAAACGCACAAACAATTCTTATTAACGAAGCCATTTAATTCTGTTGACCTTTCGCTGCATCGGCTAAATCTGTCAACATCAACACCGTATGCACAGCGCAGCGGCCGCACACCCGTAGAAAGTAAGCTGTCTGTATTCCTAATCGAGACACTTCCGGGACTGTGAGAACACATGTTTCGCTTCAAAATACAAATGACGTCCACGCCTTTAGCCGGCACTTACATTACAGGACGTGTGATGTTTGTCACTGGGTTTCTGCCACACACGGCATCCCAGTGCCTCGAACATGAGTCGATCGACACGTTTCGTGTTTATTTCTTCAAGGTTGTGTACGCCGGATTTTTCGCATCTTTAACAACAGTTTTCAATGGTGGCCTTGTTCCGTTTGCGCGAACTGTTGCCCGAACAGCTTGATATTGTTCAAGAAAAGTAGGCTTTCGGAGAAGTACGCTTTTCCCGACACGAGCACAGAAGATGGAGAGGATACATTGAACTGCGGCACGCATCCAACACGGAAAACAGTTGCACAGTGAACGCTTTTTGGTGGTCGTGGATTGCCGGAAATCTTGACAGCGGCGCAGTTCAACGCAAGGGTTCAGGCGATATAAAGCAGAACGTTGACACCCATTTCGAAGCCATTCCTCTTTCTTATTGTTGTGCTTGTTCTTGTTAGTTGAAGCTTCGAACTGAACGACGTTTTTGCACTGAGAATTAAGTTTTAGCTTTTACGGATAATATTTTCCGAAATTTAATCTTCGCCTGACTGGTCACAGTGCGTCCAAAGATCAAGTGACCTTTACATCCTGCTGGATTACCAACGGCTGCCTGATTAATTGCAAACTAAGGTAAATATATCAGTCCTGTCAGAGCCAAACTACAAACTTGTATTACCTTAACTGAAGCATAAAATATGAGCACTAAAAGTGCTGAAATCAAGAACATGATTAAATATAATTTAAGATTAAGTTTTACGAATAATTTCTTGATCATCTGCTTCGCTTGACATACTGGTTTAAGATACGTTTTCCTGATTTTAATTTCGAATTTACGGTTGGCACTTTGAATTTTTTTAGAACGTTAACTTTTCTGAATAAACTATTTGGCTTCGCCATAAAGGTAGAGCTCTAGTTCAATTAGGCAGCTATCGTTAACCATTTTAAACTCTGTACCGGTATGAACACTTTCGTATAACTATCAGTTTACGATTACAATTTAATTTACAGTATGTTCGCTAATATTTTATTTTACGGCTTTGTTATTGCAGATTAATCGACCGAATTTTCTGACCATGCCTGAAAGCCGTGTCGCCGACATCCTCTGCTGCAAAACCGCCGAACGCCGCGAACAAGAGCGCATCGACCGGCACATCCGCGATATGCTGAAGAAATGGGATTCCTTCTCCGACTTCAAACTGCTCCTGCTGGGCACCGGGGAAGTGGGCAAATCCACCATCATCAAACAGATGCAGATCATCCACAGCCAGCACTTCCAGGATGACAAACACCGGCGCACCTTTATCCGCGCGGTTCGCGAGAACATCCTGGAGGCCATGGGGGTGCTGCTGCTGGCCATGGGTGACCTCGGGATCCCGTTAGCCGATCCGCGGCACCGCAGTCACGCCGAGGTCATCAAAAAAGAATTCCGCAAACCATACCACAGCGAGACAGCTCAACGCTTGTTGACGATCGTGGGGATTTTGTGGGAGGATGGTGGAGTACGGGAGTGCTACCGGCGTCGGCATGAATTCCCGTATGTGTATCTGCACGACTCGGCGAAGTATTTTTTCAACCGGATTGATGTGATTGCCGACGCTGAGTATATTCCCACTGAGCAGGATATCTTGCGGGTACGGGCATATTATCAGGGTGATATTCAAAAAGTCTTGGGACATTTTCAAATAAAAAAAATAACAATGAAATGTTTTATTAGATTGTGTTCAAACGTTTTGGGTTCAAACGTTCAAGCCTTTCTAAAATTCATATTTATAATTTCAGCATATGACGAAACTACATAAATTACTTCGTTTGGCACTGTTTTTCTAAATTTTAATTTGCTTCCTCATTTTGATTGCGCTTGATTCAAATTTAGTACAGTTCAGAAAAAACTTTTGTTGAAGTGAAGAAGCCAATGCTTATTTATAATCTTTTTTATTGGGAGAATATGTAAATTATATTGATGTTATTTTATCTGCTATACTTCGCTTGATTTTTGTATAAATTTTTACAAATCAATAATATAAAATTTATCTTTCAAAATAGGGGAAAATTAAAACCATTACTTATTCTTACTTAAAAAGCTAAATCTGATTTTAACCTTAGGTGCGGCAGAGCTCGACCGGCATCCAGGAGTACACCTTCGAGATCGAAAAAGAAGTCTTCTTCCGCGTCATTGACGTGGGCGGTCAACGCACCGAACGCCGAAAATGGATCCACTGCTTCGACAACGTCACGGCCATCATCTTCGTCGCCGCGCTGTCCGACTACGACCAGACCCTGCTGGAACGCGACCCCCACACCGGCGAGAAGCACAACGTCAACCGGATGGCGGAGAGCCTCGCCCTATTCAACGTCATCATCCACGAGAAGTACCTCCAGCACGCGTCCATCATCCTCTTTTTAAACAAGACAGACATCTTCGAAGAGAAGATCCAGGAGCGCCATCTGGTGGACTACTTCCCGCGCTACGCCACCTTCCAGCCCAGCCACACGGATACCCTCGGGCCGCAGCGCGATGCGGAGGCCGGGAAGGAGTTTATTCTGCGCTCGTTCGAAGCGTACGTCAAGTGTAAACAGACCGCCGCGACAAGGGAGTGCTTTGATCGGGGTGGGGGGCAGCGCGCGGGGAACGGACGGCACTACAGTATCTACCCGGAACAGCAGCCGTTGTATTCGCACTTCACATGTGCCACGGATACCGAGGGGATGAAGAAGATCATTCAGGATGTGGAGGATTATTATCTACAGCTGGCGCTTATTGAGTATAATTTTCAGTGAAACGCGCCCTGGTGGCGGTCAATCTGACCTGGATTTCTTTGCACAAGACAGACAATATTATTAATCAGTACTCGCTTCGAAAATATATAACGATTATTGTATAATTTATAAACTTATATAACCGTCATAATTACGAGTGTTTATCTTACTGTTAACTGCGGTCTTGTAAATGTATTCACTGTAAAATGCTAGGCAAGTTCGTATAGAAGTTAGGAAATTTGCCCATCATCGCGGGTGGAAGATAATTAACCACCGCAAGCATTACCGACTGTGACAAAACTTAAATTTAAAGGTACTGTTTAAAAAAAGGCACAACAGTCTTCAAAACGCAACACACATGATTCTGATATGCCAAACTCAATTACAGATAAACTATTTATCAGAATTCCGATAATTAATAAAAAATACTTCCGTATTCACGCGTCGAAGATGAACCACCACCCAATGACAAAAATAGAATTAATGAGTTTTCAGATTTAATGACTTTTTTTGCAATTCAGTTAATTTAGAGAGTTGTGACACAAGCGCAAAATAATCTCAAAATTCAGGCTCGATTCATGGTAGTTTATTACATTATTTATTGAAAATTCGATCATTCAAAAAATCTCCCGTAATCACGCGTAGAAGAAAAGCCCAACCACGCTTTATTGATCATAAAAAAAGTGAAGTCAAGGAATTTTTCAAAGATGAAAACAACGACCTTCCAACCGAAAAACATAATTCATCTGCTTCCACAGCATTTATACAAAAAAATCAAAATAATCTCGACAGTTGCAGAATCATCGCTGCACCGCTGTACAAAAGTAATCAGATCATAGAATAATCATCAATTTATCATCATGGTTAGTATTATGGTTATTATATACTCATCTTTATCATCACCGTATTAATCCAAAAGCGGCTAGTGAAACCGCAAGAAAAAGCAACAACAACAAACAGAAAATCAATCTCCATTTCGTGACTTCCAGTCCACATACCAATCAATTGGTCGAAATCCCATTTCTTTCTTTAGGGGTGTCCATTGACGCCGTTGCCCGGCGGCGGCGGCTCCGGGTAGTCGAATTTCTTGGTGATGGTGTTGTCGTTCTGCTGGAACTCCACGTGCACATTCTTACATGTCAGGAAGATGTCCATCAGCTTCAGATCGAAGATATCCGGCAGGGCTCGGTTGGTCGTGGGTGCAGTGGACGATGGGGAAGCCGCCGGGGCCTCCGTCGGGGCCGCTGGCACCTCCGCCGCGGCCGGTGGCGCTCCCGTGGAGGACGGCTGGGGCTCGTCGTCGGGCTTCACCAGGCGGATTCTCTTGGTCCCATTAACATACCCATTAGCTAGAGAAAAACAACAAGCTATTAAGCGAGTAAATGAGAAGAATTTTCGAACGTTCCGAAGTTTACAGAATTTATACACCGTCACCTTTCAATTTCTCGAAGTAAAACATTCATGTGTTCGTTAGTACACTGATAAGCGATAAAACAACTGAATTTTTAATTAATTTTTATTTATGAAATAATAGAGACCAGTTTTCTTTCTACTAGTACGTACTGCAGTTAAAATATCGTCAAGTTTTACATATACGAGTATACACCCATAATTTACGTATACACCCATAATACTTACTACATAAACGAAGAAATGGGTACCAGGTAAAATATCAGTCAACTAAATTAAGCAACTTAATCTGCGATCAGCGGGAGTTTTATTATCCTGATTTACAATAATAAAGGCGTCGATACAAAGCGCACGGTGTACGCCCAATTTCAGCAACCAATTTATTTTTTTAATTTTAGCGATTTAAATCGTTGACTGCAAGTATTTCATAAAAATGTCTATTAGCAGCCTATTTTGTTTAATTCCTTTCCATTAATTTCTTCTAAAGAACGATTGCTTGATAACATTGTCGTAAAATTTTCATACAAAATTTAAAATATCCAAATCCAAGTACTCGCACGAAACCACGTTACAGGTATCTTGTAAATTCCATTCAATTTTTGATGATATCCTCATAAAATCTGCTTGAAATTCCTTGTAATAACAATTAACAATTGAATTTAACAGGAATCACTTAAAAAACAATAATGAATGAAAATTTGAGCGTACGCCAAATTTTAGCAACAAAATTAAATTTCTCGGAATACAATTAAATTAGAAAAACCATTTTTACACGAAACTAGTCACTATTTTGCTAATTCATTACAATTTATTTATTCTGCTATTCTTATTCAGCCAGCATACGATGAAACTGCGGAGAACGCCACTTACCCAGACCGTTGCATTTCGGCCGCGGCACGTTGCTGCCACTGGCCACCGAGGACCCCCCACTGACGGGATCCGCAGCAACGCTGACACCGCCGTGCACTGATCCCGCCCCACTGCCCTCCATCGCCGCAGCCGCAATGTCCATCGCTCCGGACGGCGGGATGGGGATAGGGGGCTCCTCCTCCACGGGGGGCTGGGGGTTCTTGGGGGGCCGTCCGCGGCGCTTGACGCTGACCTGTTTGGGGGCCGCCGCCGCCCCCGCGAGGGGTGGGGCGCGCGCCGTCCGCATGGCCGCCAAGGCCACATGATCGATGAGGTCGTGCTTGGACATCTCCTCTTCATCCGTACCCTGGGAGTCCTCGTCCTCCACGATGGACAGGCGCACCCGCGAGGACGTGCTGGACGAGGATTCCGGTTCTTTGCTGCCCATTCTACCCGCTGAGTATTTCAGTGACTACGTCAGAAAAATCCAACAGCTCGACAGAATTTTAATAAGAGAATCGACGAGAAGCTATCGACGGCCGCGTACCTACAACTCTGATCGTAAATTAATTTCTGAAGAACTAAGACTGGGCAAAAATTTTATTTTAGGTTCAACTGTTCAACACTTCAACTACTAGTGTTGAACACTTCAACACTTACAGAATTTATACAGCTACTATTTGGATATACAGTATACTGGAAATGAAAAGCATGAAAAAGAAGAGAATGAAATTCATCAGCGTGATCGGGCGCTCATAGAGAAAACGAGAGAACGTTATGAATCGTTATCAGAAAACCGTGATCGTGATTGCGGATCTCAGTCAAGAGTGAGCGGACTGATTTTTGACGAAAACCGCGTGAATATCCGGTTTCCACTTTTTTGTCTCGGCATTTTCATGCTCAGACAGGCCGCAAAGGAAATTTGCCGCATTTTCATTCGTCCGTCACACGAACAGGGAACCGGTCCATGGCGCACTCGATACACCTGCTGTAGCCCGCTTAAAATGCAACGCAACTGATGACAGAGGTTTCCCTGTACATGCTGATTACGCTCACTCAGTGCACTGTGCAATGCAGCCTTGCGATTTGTAACAACGCAGCGGAGAAAATTCAGAAAAATCCCATTTTGTTGTGAGCTCCATTAATTGTTCCTGCTATCTTCCACATTTCCCGACTTTTCGTTGATTTTTTCCAGCTTGTGAGCGTCTTTACTTCCAGGTGGGATCCGCGGTGATCAGCGTACGGAGGTCGAAACAGGAAAGGTACGAAGATTAAAATAAGCCGTAAGCGTGAATAATTGACTGGAAAATCAGGGTTTGATGGGTTCGTCGTTTTCCTCGAGAAAGTTAAGCAGAATTTCATCTAATCTCGGATTGTGATCAAAGTAACAATATTCCTAGATTATCCTAAAACAAATTTTAGTGATAGATCGGGGGTTCTTTCGGCGAGAGAGGGACTAAGAAAGTTTGAAAACTCGGTTTCAGTTCAGAAAGTTCTTAGCTGTCTTGAAATCTTAATCGTGGACATAATTTAATGCTTTATCACTCCATCTGCTTTATTTTTACTTTGTGAAGCACCGGCAATTCTTTGGGTTTTTAACTGTAATAAATTTTTTTAATTTTTTTTCTGTAGGATTAACGCTATAGGACGGTCATTATATCGTTACGATGATTTCTAAACCCAGCAGCGAACTTTGTCGATTTTGCTGTAGCAGCGTAGCTTGATATCATCCACTGTAGAAAATGTTTTTAATCGAAGTTTTATCAAAACTGGATATCGGGACAATCGATTTATGGTGCAGAATCGATAGGTAGCTGGCTGATTGTGTATGTATCAACTAATCTGTGGCGCTGGGATTAGCGGATCGGAGGGGAATGTTGCGGGGACGCCGCTTGTCGTTCAGGCGTCCGCCCCTGGGGGCCACTGCGCGCATTTCCGTTCTACCGACTTATACCCCGGCCTTTTCTTGGAGGGATAGGAAAATTGATAGTGGGGATTTGTGAGGGAAAGAGAGAGATAAGCCCCCGCTCCGTCTGGACTCTCTCCCTTCCCTCTCCCTAGTCCCAGGGTATTGATTGGCAAATGTCCGCTTGATGAGGGGGGGATTGGGGCAGTGCGGCGCCCGCGGCAGTATAGCGTTCTCTTCCCTCCCGCAAGTGGGGGACGGCGGATTATTGCGCTCCTCACCGGTGCGCTCTCTCTCTCCGCTGGACCGTCCCCTGGGGACACATGGACAAATTGCTCCATGCTTGTCGCGCGCGGTAGTCGGTTGGATTGAGTGTGTACGCTGTTGTGCGCGGCGTTTCGGCTCCCGTTTTTTCCAGTCGGGATTGATTTGGTGGGAAACCGTGGAGAAACATTGATTGTTATGGGGTGAAAATAAAATGTGTGTTTGGCAGTTTGTGGTTGGAAAAGCCAAACCATTATAGGGATGATTTCAATAACGAATTTAGCAGTTATTTCATTAGACACTTTATTAAAGTGTAAAAGACGGAAAAATTGTAGAAGTGCTCGCGCGTTAGTAGCTTGTCATGGTATTGTAATATTTACTTCCACTTCTTAAATTTGATATTTAATGTCTTAATATTTCTATTTGGTAACTGTATTTGAAAATAATTTTAAAATAATGACCTTTTTATAATAATTTTCTCTTTGCTTCTTTACTCAATCTGTGTCACTTGGGATTGGAAAATCGTATAAAAATATCAGTGAGAATTTTTATTTCCTTATTATAACAATAGGTTATTTTAAAGTGATAATTTTTAAATGTTTTTTTTGTTTCTTCACTGGATTCTGTGTATAATCTCTTTTTTAACTATTAACGTTTGCGATGGGAAAATCATATTATAAAAAATTGTTGGGGAATTTCTGTTGAGTATGATCTAATTAACAGTTATAATTCATTGATTTAATAAACGGAATGCCATTTTCTACGAGTCACCATGTCAAAAATCTGTATGGGAAAATCGATGGATTTGAATTTGTAATTATGTGATGCGGCAGAAAGGAGCTGATGCAATGGTCCCGTTTTGTAGCGGTAGCCATGTGGCTAATTGGATTTTCTGCGTTTCTTAACGCATGAACGTTCTGGGTTTGCATGGCTATTAAGTGGGTAAATAAATTATGGGAGATCGGATGGAAAACAGGGGAGTGAGCTGGATCAGGAGAATATGGTCGAAAAGTTGGGAATATCATATTGCGTTTCCGGCTTACGGGGACCACTATCGGCAATTATTCTACCGAGTTTTTTATGAGCAGTGGCAAAAAGTTAGCACTTTTAGTCAGTGTACATTGTACAGTTGACGATGGTAATATATGCTGGACGCTGCAGGTGGTTGAACATAGAATTTTAATTAACTGCGTTTTTTTCCGGGTATTGGTCGCTCCACCGTGCGACCGTGCCGAAAATGTCGTAATGATTTAATAAAATTTTTAATCGAGTACCTATATCACAATCAGTATCGCGAGTGTATTCTGTTTCTATAATTTTTTTGTACGAAATGTTTTTACGGATTTTTTCTTCAGTGTGTATAATCTGAAAAATAATAGCCGCAAGATTTTTGTGAATGTGAGAGAAAATTGTTTATTGGAAAACTTGCAGGATGTTTGTGCCGTGGAAATAAAATAGGGCGATAGTGAAGTGTTGGGAATTTTTCTTTTCATTAATGTAAACAAGGCAGAGGATTTGCCGTCGCGCAGGAGACTGGTTTAATGGGCAGTGTGTGTGTGTGTGTGTGTGTGCTAATAACAAGCGGAAATGGCTGCCGCACTGCGACATAAAAAGATGTTTTCTGTCAAGTCCAACATCTCGTGATGCTGACGTATTATAATGTACACATACACAATAACTGATGATGGACGATATGTATGGCGGAATAATATCGTTGCCGGCGTCGATATGTGTATGTGCGCCATTATACTCCATACACGATGTGCATGAGCGACTTCCGGTTATAAGCAACAAATTTTTCGTGGTGCGAATATGGTATTATTTGCGCCGACTGCAGTCTGGGAACTGCAGCCTGCAGTGTGAAATAAGTCCGGGAGTTTTGGCGAAAAAACAAGGGATTAGTGGCACCTGTTGGCGCTTAATGTGCATGGTATTAATTATCTACACTTTTCGCCGTTTTGCCGTCAATTTTTAAATACCGTAAATTTTTTTCAAACGCTTTTGATGGCGCCACATGCCGGTGTGTTTTGTCCTTGTGTAGCGTTTTTGCGGCACTAAACTTTCAACTTTACACGAAAATTTATCGAAATTTAACACTTGACAGTTTATTTGGAAAATGTCGCTTTTGTTGGCATTACCATACATACAATCAAAATTAAAAAAATATAGGTATTATTGTTGTCGAACATGTGAAATCGAATGTCGTAGACGAACAACGGTTTGATTCTCTCTCCAAAAAATAACCGAGTTTCTTGCAGTTATCATTACGTTTCTTGCAGTCATCATCTGCATAGCAAATAAATTTGGAAAGACGCGCTTTATCGTTAAATGCGCGTATACAGTATTTGAGATACTGCTTAATCAGGGCGTCCAGGAAATTCCACTGGCGTGTGCTGTGCATCGTCAGCTGTATTGCTGAACTTTATTGCTTCCTGGTTTACAGCGGGAGCAATCTTAGAAATGCATTGTAGAAGTAAATGTCGAATGATAGAAGCTGTACAGATGGGAGAAATTATCCGTGTGTGTGTACGGCTGAATTTTCACCGGAAATTGATGTTTCCAGTTGCTTTACTTTTTTCTGGGAAATACAGCTGAATTTAGTTTGGCTACTCCAAAGATGAAAATGGGCAATCGGTAATTATTGCGAAACCAAAAGAAAAGATATGGATGCACATACAAGCTAACAATAAGGGTACTTTTTTGCTACTTGCTTTCTACTGAGTCAGTTTTTAAGATCACGATACTAATTTCATATGTAGGTTAAGCGTTTTAAGTTTTAATTATAAATCTGCTTGCATTGTTAGTTTATTAGGCTGTGAATTTAATTTTTCTGTTTCGGAAAAGTAGTAAAGTTGCTCGAACGATTGAATCAGTTTGTAATAATTTTCGAATTTTATTCCGCGAGACCATGATGTTAATTTGATTTTTTTTATCTTGTACTACAAGGATACATTATGTAACACACATTCGGGGGATGGAAAGATACATCCGGTCTACCTTGCAATTAAGTGTTTTTCACCCGAGAGAGTGGTTCGGGGCGCGTTGGCTGTATAATAATTTTTTCCCTCCCTAAAAGCACCGCGCGTCGATATTACATGTGCGTGTGTAACGCGGAGTACGCACAGTCACGCGGTCGTCGACGGGACTGCTGGCTGTGTATACGGTATATTCGCCGGGATGATCATCGATATTATCCCGCGCTCGATGGGGGGATGATCATGATGTAACATGATGGCCATCCCCAATGTACACAGCGCGCGGGCCGAGTTGCTGTAGCCAGTTTATCCATATGTATTCGGTGTGGGGCCTGTTGCCGGTCGGTTAATTCGCAGGAAGAACCGATTCATATATCATGTCGGAGCAATTGCGCCCATTCTCTCGCTCGATTCACTTGGGTGTGTGTTGTACGTACTGAGGAAGGAAAACCGGGATCCCTGTACACTTTTCTATGGTTTTATTGCGCAGTTGATATAGTATGTACCATCGATCGATGGGCGAGTTGGTTATACAGTCCCGGCGTCGTATTCCCGGGGAAGATCGATGGAGCAGTAAAATACATTGGTCAATATGCGGGGGAATGTAATAGGGCCATGTGATGGGATTCTCATGCACTGACGGTATATTGCGTGTGGTAGAATAAACGCGTGCAGGCAGCGCAGCAGTTTAGTTTGCTGATTGGGTTCGGGAATCTCTCTCGCATCGCGCGCGCTACGACTACGTGTTGCATTTTGCAGTGTATTATTGGGAAAACGTTCCTCTCTCCACTGTGTGCGATTGTAGTATAATCGAGAAGCCCTGGCTGTTGTGTTGAGATTCGGGAGTTTTTGCCGTATGTGCGTATAATCGGTGTGGGAATTCTCTTGACTGATTGCAGGTGTGCTGTGTGTAGTTTGATTGGATCGCGGGAAAACAGCTGGGTGATCCGTTTATTCACTGACACAATCGGTGGAGATTGCAGCGCGGTGTTGCTAGTAAGTAGCAGGTATGCACTGTATTTGGAAATTTTCGTAGTGGACTGGCTAAAAATTTATCTTGCAGTAATGCCTATTTACTGTATATAGTTTAATCACGGGAAACTGCTGCTTGTTTGTGGTCGCCGCAGAATAAAATTTATTTTAAACTTTTTTATACCCGGAAAAACTTTTGAAATAAATGTTGTAAAAATTTTGGATCCGTATAAAATTGAAAATTATTTATTTAACGTTAACGCACAGCAGTGGAAATTCCGTGCATTTTTAAAATTTCGTAACGACTGTACGTTGATTTCATCAGCTGAATTATTACTAATGAAAAATTTAATGGGAAAATTAATTGATTAAAACAATTTCGAGATTGAACTGCGTCGTTACAACCGGTGTTTTGAAAATCGATACGTTTTGGTCCATGCGGACAACACTGCCGCCTGCGTCAAGCAAAATACTGTGCACGTCAGGGAAAAATCGAATTTCTCTCATTCCGGTGCGCGATGATCATTATACCCGGTTGGTGTTGATGAGATGCCGTATTGTTAGCCGGGAAAGAAAAATGGGCCTGGTGAGAAATGGATAAGGCATGTTCGCGCACACAGGTGGTACGCGGTGTGCACCCGTGCCAACAATGGCCCCGCCGGTGAAATGGTGAATCGGCTGGATAATGAATAGGGTGTAAAATGCCTTTGTACATATTCATTTTCGCCCCACCGGTTGCCTCCATTGTGGCAGCCGGCACAGCTCGTGCACGCTGAATAAAATGCACACGAATACCGTAGAGAAGTACACGTAGATTTATGCTGGCCTGACGTTGGGGATGAATTTTCCTTCTGTTACCCGCGATACATAACGGAAATCGATCATTTTTTCGCATGGCCTAACAATGCGCCCTGATGAATTTCGTAGGGGATTTTATATGCGCGTGTCCCTCGGCGTGCAGTGTAGGCTGTGTGTGTTTGCATGTGCGGCAAAGAAATTGGCCTTGAGAGTTTTAAAGCGCTTGCGTGTTTAATTGCCACTGTGTGTGTGTGTGTTCGCTGTGCTGTGTGCGTTTTTCGGGGGGCCATCGTCGTCGTGTTGCGAGTGTTGACACGGGAAATGAAGGGTTCGTCAAGAATTGAGGGGAATATGTTCGACCGTTGCTCCAAGTTGGGACGGGATCGTGATGGAGAGCAATCATGGCACTGGCTAACATATTGCTAGATAACAGAGACAAATTTTTGTACATGCCAAGAACTGGCGCGCCTTATATTGTTTCCCGTTAACATTAGTTGAATTATTACATATAACGTATCATCGAAATTTTTAATAGTCGTAATTCTTGGTCTGTTTTTATTTTTATAATGTGGCATAAAGACTTCTTTCACTTTTGCAAATTCGTTTCCATTTTGGCGGGCCGACCTAGCGCGATGGTCGGTGTATTTTATTCGCTGGTTATTATTTTATATTTTATATATAAGATATCTTTCTCAAGTGACAGCGGATTTTTTGGCTCGTTATTTAGTAGCTAAAAAGATTTTGTACACCGAAAAGGTATTTTTTTTTGTGAGAATGTTTCTAGGGCTAAGAAATGTGGGAATTTTTGGAGAAATTTGAACATTTTTCACAGTGAAAATTTGTTATCGTGTAAGAGTTGTTATCAGGGGCAAGTAGGACCGCTGTTTTCCCGGATGTTTGCTAATTTGTCAGAAATTTCACCGTGTAATTTTCCGGATGATTATGCGGATTAAGTGGCGCGTTAATGTTGATATGACTATCATTGTGTAACGGTGTAATTGTGCTCGTACTGGTAGAATGTTACAGGGTGAAGGTTGTTGATGAAAGAGCGGCATATATCGGCAATTAGGGGCTGTTTGTTGATCTTGTCAAATCATCCGGTTTTCGCGCTTGAGTCAATTGACGCACGGTTGTCTTTGGTGGTCTTTTATTTGCTCCATTTACTATCCGTATACGAGCAACAGTGGCTGTTTTGTAATTTGCGCGCCCCGGCTACCGTCGGCGGCGTCGATATTGTATTTTGCCGGCTACGGATGGAAACGGGCGAAAAACACGATACGCACCGTTGTATTTTGCGCTGGGCAGATCTGTGCCACGGCTGCTGTGTGTACCGGTTTTCTGTTGTGTTTTTTTTGCGAAACAGTTGTCTTATTTTTTTCGGTTGTAAATGATTTAAATTTAAAAATTGATAGGTGCATTTTTTTATTTTTAGTGAAGCGGATGAGGAACTGTATCAGTGTTCTCTTAATTTCCTTTTTCAGTTTTTACATTTTTTTGTTTTTCCAGCCGTTTAATAGTCGGGAGAGATATATAGATAGTACTTTAATGTTTTCACGCTAACGTCATTTTTAAATATTTCTGTCTATGGTTTGGTGTGCTTTTGAAAAATTTTCTGTGAAGTTTGGCTTTGACGCAACTTTCCTCGTGATTTATTTCGTTTGCGTTTTACTGCATTTTCTTGCGCTTCCTTCTGGTTTTAAAATAGCACGACGAGAATATAAGCGGTAGAAAAACATTTGAAAGCGGCATTAAGGAAACAGAACAGCCTGAGAAAAACGCCATGCAGGTGTCCCATTACAAATCTCGATGGTACACGCGGCGTGTGTTCGACGAAGGGGAATAATCCCGGCTGGAGCACAGGCTGCGGACCTGTGCGCAGCAGAAAACAGTGACGACGTATAATGGTCCCGTACAGTGTATCCTTACTGCAGCAGTGCAGCGGCGATACTTGTGCAGTTCCACTAAATAGGCGTGTGTGGGGGCGCCGTGGCGGCCGGCAGGCAGTGCAGTGGCTTCGATCGGGTTAGTCGGTCCCTGCGTGGCTGTGCATAACAGGCGCACACAACCGAGGGATCCGCGGGAATGGTGTGCCGGGGTGGGAAGGGAAGAGAGAGGGAGAAGAGAATGAGCGGACGAATTATGAATTATGTACACATTGTGCGCGGGCTGTGCTGCTGCAGCAGCGGAAGTGATCGGTAGCGGCGGTTATTGTGTGCTATGCGTGTGTGTATGCGCTGGGCTGATGCGGGACGGGACGGCCGGCTGGATAATTGAGGTGTTTGCTTAGGGCTTACCTGGGAGCGAGCGGGGTGGAATGTAGGTGCTACAGGGAATGATGGTGCTCGAGGTGCGGTTAAATTGCCTTACATAGCGGCTGTGCAGTGGGGGATGCAGGAGTTTGTCATTGCTGGTCCGGTTAATTGAAGTGCAGGTTTTTTTGACAGGAAAGGAATTTTTCTAGTGCAGTTTGGCTTTCTTAAGTGAATTTTTCTGGTGTATTATGGCTTTTTAAAGTGAATTTTTTCGGATGTATTGTGGCTTTTTTGTGATCGAAGGATGTCGGGTGTTTTTCTAAAATAAGAAAGATTATGCTGCTTGTTTTCCCGTCTTTTTAGCGATTATTGACAGAACTTCCGCTTGATTTATCAACAGGAGGGCGTTAACCAGTTTACACAGGATTCACCCTGATTTTTCCTGCCTTAATATTTTTTTGATTTTACGCATTTTTCTAACTTCTTTTTTCATTTTTTATAAAGGTTATTGGCATCCTTTGATTTTTGTTTGTACTGCATTTTTCATGCTTACGAAAAATTACCAAGACTTCGTAACATATTTTTTGAAAAGGTGAATGTTTTTATTAAAAAATTGGCTGGAATCAAATTAACGGGAATTATCTGGATAATTCGCGCAGTATTTTCGGTAATTTCCCACGATTGTGCCGCTATGTTGTGTAATTGTGTTGGTGAATTATGAAGTGTTGAAGCGATCGTTTAATAAGCCGGGGCCGTGGCTAACTTTTTTTGAATAATCGTATGCCGTCGTCGTCTCCGCACTGGCCTATTTGGCAGATGCTGTAATAAGCACTTTGACGTCACAGACACACCACCACCATGCTGGCCTTACACACAGAACAGTGACACACACACCACATTGGCCGGTGTATACGGCCGGGATCATCGTTGAAGACTGTTGTCGCTGACGGCGCGCGCAGTCGTCAAGAGACCAAGAGAGAGCGAGAGGCAAAAAAATAAGGTTAAGGAAAAATGTACCACCGCCGCAGCCGTCGTTCGGGGCTGCCGATCGCCGAGACGCCGCTCGCGCATGTTGGGATGGAAAACAGAGCGGATGTGTTGATAAACCCTGTACGCAACGCTGGGTACGTGCAGCAGACGCATCGATACGCGCGCTCGCAGCGGAAAAGGCTGTACGATGTGCGCTCGCGCTGCTGTATATCTGCCGTGCAGCGCATATAAAACGGGGTTGAGACGGATATTGGATTGTCGTGCTGCTTGGTGCTGCTGCTGCTGTGTTATATTTGAATGGATGAAATTGTGTGATTGATTCTGTCGAATGGTTTCTGGCATTGAACACGGTTAATACAGTGACTGTGTGTGTGTTATATGATGGTACATCTGTAGGCTAACCTTTTTTCCTAAATAATTGACGTTCCACGTGTAATCTACACACGGTGCGGGTGTTATCGCGTATATTACTGTTCTCTCTCGCTTGACACACACAGCGACCATGATAAGGAGAATACTGGCGTAGACGCGGGGTTCGTTACCGATCGTAACATTCGCGTTTAGACACCTTTCACTCAAGGTCTTTGCGTGGTTTACAGGAAAATCGGTTTCCAGGTGATTGGCTGAATACCGACCGTCTGGAGCGTATCCCTTTATCATCCTTGTGTGGTTGGGATTTGGATTCCTCTCTCTCTCTGATTTTTGTGATTTTTCCGTGGGGTGAGCGCTGATTTTCCGTATATTATTCAGCCATGGCCGATCAGTTAACGGAGGAGCAGATTGCCGAGTTTAAGGAAGCCTTCAGTTTATTCGATAAGGACGGGGACGGCACGATCACCACCAAGGAGCTGGGCACCGTCATGCGCTCCCTGGGCCAGAATCCCACCGAGGCCGAGCTCCAAGACATGATAAACGAGGTGGATGCCGACGGTAAGGTGTGGTAGCGTGTTTACGGCGCCCGGGGGCGTTTTCACGGGTGTTTTTCGTTGAGTTTTATTGTTTCTGCCACTTGTGTAGTTTTGTCTGCTAATAAATAATTTTTCGGTCAAACTATTCCGTTTTTTTTTGTTGATAAATTGTCGGTGATGACGTTAAACCGGTTTACTGAAGGTTTCCAGCTGGCAGACGCTTCAGAGCCCGTAAACAGTCTTCGTGAAAATTTCTCCCGTTAATGATTCATCTGATTCTTTTTTTTTAATTTTTATTATTTCGATTTCTGTGGAAACCATATTTTTAAACCAATTAAAGTATAATTGTAGCGGATGGGGTGGGAATGCGGTTTTTCCCTGTAGCGGGCGTGTGTAGTTCACGGTGTTGAACAGGGATAATTCAGTTGGTGTGTAGTTTTATTTTAATTAAAAATTTTCTTCGCGGTTATAATTCTTTTTGCGAAAGGTTTTTGTTGGTCTTTTGGGGTTTTGAAGACGATAGAGAGCAGGATAAGTTGAGAAAGGGAAGTTTCTCGTCGCCGGGTTCGTTGGGACGGGGACTGCTGCATGAATGGGCCGCGATGGTGGATCGATAGTCATGCGATGATGATGATGATAGAGTGGAGCAATAGTCCGGGGCTGCAGTAAATGCTGTGTGTGCTGCGCCTGTTGTTGGATACATGGCGGGATCCGGTCTGGGCAAGCGCAGCAGCAGCATAGCGCAGAGAACAGCCACAGACACTGGAGGGATATTGGGGATGAGGGTTTCCCGTTGGGTTGAGTCATCGGCATTCGACGCGCAATGGGAGTAGTACATATACATGGAGAACAAGTCAGCCATGTTCCGCGCCGCGGCAGCTGCGACTGCTGCTGCTGCATGCGCTGAGTCAATTGAGCGAGTGTTTCACGAAGAAATTACCCTCGATGTGCAGTGTCATTATCATTGCTGTGGGAGAGAGATGGTTGGTGTAGAGAGCAGTACGCGGCCGGATGATGGAGCCCGCCATACAGTGAGAGCGGCTCAGGCATTATCCACGGAAATGGTCTATGCTAATTAGGCGGGAGAAGGGATTTGTCCATGCGAAAAATTAGCTAAGAACATATTGCCGCTGTCTGTCACACAGTGCCGGCCTGTAGATGTGTACGCCAGTAACACGACTGTCAGATCGGGATGCAGGGAGATGCCGTAAACGCTGGCGCAGACGGCTGAACGGTCGTGTCAGGATGAATTGGGCCAATAAGCAGGCTGAAGGTCTTTGCAGGATTTATGGGCGGTTTTCTTTGACATTGTTTTGCTTATCCGTTGTAGATTTTTCATTTTTAACCAGGTTCATATTTTGCTTGATAGAGCGGATCGTGAAATATTTATTTACTAACTGTTCATACAAAACTAGCAGAAAATGATGAAAATAATCTCTCGAAAATTAGTTTGTTTTTGGTAGAAAATGTGCAGTGAATATGGAAATTTATTTCGTTTTATTGTGAATAAAATCGGAAATATGATGCGCTTGACGAAACAGTATAGGCCGTACAGTGAGTAAACAATGACTCCTGCATTTCCATAGAATTACGCTTGGAGTACTTGGGAATCGAGTGATTCACAGCCGATTCGAATCACCCCGGGAATTGTCGTGTGTGTACACATAATTGCTCACATTTTTACCGCTATGTAATAAACTTGTTGTCAAGACCATATAATTATTTGCTGCGTGATCCCTCTTGAAAATTATTGGGAGGGAACGCGCTCAAAAACGGGAACACGTCAGCGCTCGTAGGTATAGTTGGATGAGACCGATTTTTCTGTATGATCAGTTCTTCCTTTGGAGACGGGAAAACGCCTGATAATCGGTGTGCCATTGTACAATTGGTGTGAATTGTGTATATTGTATTATACGCGGGGAATTGACGAGTGTGCATGATAGGAACACGGTACAAAAGCCGGGCGATTGAAGTGGTCCGCGTAATACATCTCGCCGAGCGGCGTATGCATCGGGCTGCACAGTAATGTATAATACCTGGGCAATGTGTGCAGGGAAGGGAGAAAAAGGGATGATAGTGTGCTGGCAGCCGTGGGAATGCGGGATGGCTTTTTCACTGTGTCGTGAGCAGGTTTATCGACCGTGGTGGGCCAGGGCTGGTGTGTCAGGGAGGCCGTATGAGCGGCGGTCGGTTGGGTTCGTGGAAATTGTCCTGTGATTGGATGGCGGTACCGTAAATGGGAAACAGAGGGTGATTAATGGCTGAGTAATTTGACTGTTTAATGGGTGATGTTAAGGGAGTGTGGCGTGGTATACGGTCGGTATCCCGGCCGACAACGAGGGGATAAAAACCGCCCGTAAATTTGGAAAAGACGGGTCGCGTACTTGAAGGATTGGCAGCATCGTTCAAATATTTAATCGAGTTACCAATAATTAATTAATAATTAATTGCCAATAATATTATTAAAGTACAGTATCCAGAACGTTGATAAAAAATTATGCATAGTATCTCTTCCACAATTATAATCTTTCTTGTAGTTAATTATTCAAATATGTTTTTGTAATGGTTTTCGTCTAAATATTCTCAGACATCTCAGAACAGGAAGAAAAAAATTATTCATAAATATATTTTTGAAAATTTAGTTATTAGTGATAGAGCTTTTTTACTTGTGCGGCCATGAATGGATCTTGTTGAAATGAGTCCAGGAAGATATATAATTTAATATAATAATTTTTGTTGAAAATAATTGGCGAAAAGGTTCTTGTAAATTCGGTGCTCGTGGAGTACTTATTGAAATATCGTCCATATTTTGTTAATATTGCGAAAAGTTTCCTGGTAATTAATGCAATGCTGTGTTTTCACAGGTAACGGAACCATCGACTTCCCTGAATTCCTTACCATGATGGCGCGGAAGATGAAGGACACGGATAGTGAAGAGGAGATCCGGGAAGCGTTCCGCGTCTTCGACAAGGACGGCAACGGCTTCATCTCGGCCGCCGAGCTACGACACGTCATGACCAATCTGGGCGAGAAGCTGACGGACGAGGAGGTGGACGAGATGATCCGCGAGGCGGACATTGACGGGGACGGGCAGGTTAATTATGAGGAATTCGTCACCATGATGACCAGCCGCTAAGACACCGCCGGCCACGTCCCCCACCCACGGGCGGGCGGGATCCACCGGCGTTTTCTTCTGTTTTTTTTTTGTTTCTTTTGAAGAAAAAATCCCCAGTGTTTTTGCGATTCACACACACACAACACGCGCACGCGCCCCATTCTGTCAACGTGTCTCTTCTCTTTCTCTCTCGTAAATAGAATTCATCCTTTTGGTCTTTTTAATATGCTGCCGCCGTCGCCCGCATCAACACAGCGCCGCGCGGCGATCGGCCGCGCCTCCTCCGAAAATTATTGCAGCCATTTTATGCTTAATCCGTGGCGCTTTTTGGTTCGTACACGTATGATAATATGATTGTTTTAATTATGGGCTAATTAATTAATTAATTTGGATTATCCTTCAATTTTCATCCGGTTTCCCTCTTTTTTTGTCGCGCTTGTATACCCCTTTTTTCTGGCTAATTGTCGAGAAGAAAAATGCGGAAAAAACAACAAGACGGACGAGTATTTGCTGCACACACTGGCTTGGTTTTTGTTTTATTCGGCGCGCGATTTTTTTGGTCGATTTTATGCGTGATAATGGCCCGATTACGGCGCGCATCTTGGTTTATGCGGAGCACGTGTGTGTTTGTAAAAAATCGTAATTATATAGAAAAAAACAGTTTTCGTTCCCAGTCCGCGCTTTGTGGTGTTCTTTTTTATGTAGAGAAAACAAGAAACCGGGAATTTTCTAATTTGTGCCGGTTGCGTCGCTTTGTATCCAGCTTGCCTTGACAGCGTTAATCATATGTTCCTCGCCACAAAAAAATTGATTTCCTTGTTTTCTTTGGTTTTTTGTCAAGCACGGCTTGGTTCTCGAGGCCTTCTACCTTTTTTTCATTAGATTTTTATACCAAATTTCTCCAAAAAAATCTAGAGAAAAAATTGTGCTTTTTTTCCTCTTTTCCGATTTTTCCCTGATTTGCCGTTTGTAAAAAAAGCAAAAAATGGGCTGGGCAACGGGAACTGAAATGAGCAGAAATTTGTTTTACTAAACAAAGCGATGAACGGCACAATTATTTGTTCCCGATCTTTTTGATGAAAGACAACACTGTGCTTGTCAATCGAGCGGTGGTTGTTGTGTCCACGAGCTGTCTCCTCTTTCTATCTTTCTCTGTGTGCTGGTATGTCTGCTCGGGTTTTTCAATGGGCGATTGTGTGTGCTGGATAATACCGGTTTCCTCTCCATTGTACAAGCTGCACTTCGCTACTTCACACACATTGTGCTTACGTGTTTCATATTTCTCTGCATTATGCCGCTGTTATTAATTGTGTCTAGCTTTTGACCGTTCTACTGATACGATGCTTGTCTCCACCAACTGTTCTTCATTCCTATGTGTATAATTAGCCTAATGAATTAATAATCATTCATACATATCCAAATCAAGCCGATAACGAATTAATTCTTTATTGTATGCAGTTTGTATACTTCCACATATTACAACGATGACAGGATAACGATAAACAATGCGCCAACCAACCTGCAAACTGTATAAAAATTGGGTACGACTACTGAAAGACACCTGCATCATCCGCAGCATATGTAAACGAAGGCTTGCATATGTAAGCAATTAATTACTGTAATAAGTACTTTATTGTACTTACAAAGTCGTAATTGTCTGTCCGTGCATATTATTGTTACATCATTTGCATGTAAGCACTTTTTTAAATTAACTGAGAGAATAACATTATTAAGGTTTTCTGTGAATACTATCCGTACTTAAAAAATTCAGAAATTGATAGTATAGGAAGATCCTCGAAACACGTATTATTAGTAACTACGACGTATATTACATATACGACAAAATGCCTTTGTTATTACTGGACATGAAGCAAGAGTGAACCCATAAAAACAGCCCGCTACACAAAATTATACTGTATGCTCGTACTCGCATAAAATGAACGAATATGTACATGTATGAGAATCCCAATTCACACCGTCACCACTTCATTTTGTAAGGCTCACGCGATTATTATATATTAAAGTACACATCATAGCGCATTAATAGATAAAGATGATACAACAGGAAAAGATAACAATAAGACAATCATTCCACAACAGATTATCTAGAAATCACTACAAGAACATGCACTTCTATATACTGTCTTGCATTAGGAAATCGTGCCCATGGTTTGGTTTATATGACAAAGCTAGTTTGGTATGCTGCATGTTTATGAGACATCCTTAAATCTTAATACTACTTTGTTTATGAATTATCCTAAAATCTTAAAATGGCAGCGTGTACAGTAGTAGTATTGTTGATTTATAATGGATGTATGAAGCTGCATGACTAATGAACAAAAGAGTGGACGCCATAATGTGTTTTACACACCGACAGCCGATAGCGCTATCGGCTATCGATGTAACCACATTAGTGGCGTCCATTGTAAACTTAATAGCCAGCAATATAAAATTAATTTAATTTTAGAAAGTAATATAATTATATCGGTTTACCTACGTACTAATTGTTTGTTACGAGGTTGAAAGGTTCAGCAAATTATCCCGCCTGTTTATATTTGGGCCGAACAGAGCACTTTGCGCAATATCGTCAAGGATAAATACTTGATTTCGGAAAACTTATAATATAGAGCATCCAACAAATAATGCCCTACAGCCTACGTTGTTATTATTTTGGGAGTGCCAGCATCCTAACGAATAAGTTAACGTTTAGATCAAAACAACAACCTATGTACTCTGGTAAAATCGTTGAATGCTGATACAAGGGATAACATAATAGTATTATTATTAAGTATTATTATCCAGACAGTACTGTATATAAGTGCAAACTGCAAATATGTATTACGTTGATATATATCAACGTAATACATATTTGCGCGTATGTACCATGGTACATGCATACGCGCCGGTCCAGAGGACATTCTACCTGATTAATTATTAAGCGATGACAGATTTTTTACTTTTTTGTTGTTGCAAACAACATTATGACCTGTGCATGATATCAGTGTGCTGATGATAAAATATAAATATAATACCGTTCAAGTACCTGCAATATCGCACCAACTTTACCGGATGCTGCCTAATTATCTAACTAGATAAAAAATCTAATTAGATAATTAGCTACCATTCGGTAAAATTGGTGCGTACCAATTTTACCGGATGGTAGCTAATTATCTAATTAGATTTTTTATCTAGGAGCATAAAATGATTATAATACCGTTCAAGTGGATGTAGATGTACCTGCGATATCGCAGGTACATCTACATCCACTTGAACGGTATTATAAACATTTTAGGCACCGTAAGTTTTGCAAGTTTACAGCGTACATAATTACGAGTATAATAAGGTGAAAGCGTCAGAAATTAGCGAACACTTTTCATTTGAATAGTAAATAAATTATTTAATTTACTCTAAATAATGGGTTTAGATTATTGTTTGGAAGTATGTCTTAGGTACGCAGAGACAGAAATATAATATAACTCTACTTATGTTACGATGTTACCAAAGGTACTGCGAAAAAGACAAATTCATGGGCTACGACGAGTGTCTACTCGTAGTGCAGTGGCTGTCACTTTGAACCTGTATCTTTACGCAATCAATTGTGGATGCAGCTTGCACAGCATACGGAGCTACTGTATTGTACATATGCAATACATCACTTTCAACTTTGACGCTGCCACTGGACTTAGGTGTGCTCTGAAGTCTGACTGTTTTACAAATAGTGTAAATTCTAAGCAGCCAGAATGTAAAACTGTAGCCGAATGGTTGGCCGATTATATGCATGCGACGGCATAAATGCGTCTCATATGTTTCGCCGCTTGCATTTGCCGCCATCCCCAGAACGGCATCTCTTTAGTCAGAATGGCCAGAAGTGATTGTCAGACTTTGTAAGCTCCCACCAGCACGGCCAGCGCTTTTCAAGGGAGATTATTCAGAACAGAGCAGGCTGAGAATTCTTTTTTGTATTAACCATTTGGATACAGGGAGGCATTATCGCCGCAGTGATATCGCATGTCTCCAGTCCGGCCACTGTACGAAGCCTCACTGCCGGGTGTACGGTAGAAGCGAGTGTGGGACATGAGGACATGTTGGTTAGAGATTGTGTACTATGTGTACTCAAGGAAAACCGTTCGGCAACGACTATTCTGTACCATCCAGCAAACTGTCCGTGGTACAAAAATACATTCCATAAAACCGTAATCAGGGCAAACCGTCCGCCGGGACATACCCCGTGCGACAAAACGGTCCAAGAGAAAATCCGTATCCGGGCACTGCTTGGTATCAGAAAGGGCATGGAAATTGGACTCCTGCTGCGATTCGATCATACAGTGTCCGCGCAAGGCGAGTGCACTTTTCTGTTACCTATACTATTTTACTGACAGTTCCATCGCTTGATTTTGCGTACGTACGTATTGCCAATAGCTACGTATAACGCTGCAGACAAACCGCTCGCTTGATTGTGAGAATCAGTGCGACACAAGTGGCGCAAAAGCTGGTCTTCACTGCGAAGAATGGTGAAACCGGTTTTCTCCTGCTATCATAGCGTTCGTCGGCTTTTCATCATCTGTTATTGGTCTTGAGGTCTGACGAAAACGGACGAGGCACCTGAAGATTAACCACTACAGAGTAGGTTATGCGGGCTGAGGAGAACAGGAGAAGAGTAACGGTTGTTCATTCAGTCAGAGAGTGTGCTTGTTAGAATCCCGAAACAGTATGCTTAACATGTTTAATGAGAAAAGTACAAGTATTGATTTTGCGCGCGAACGGGCACTGCTCGTAGAAATATTTGCCAGATGACAGCAGAACTACCGGTACTCGTGGAAGCGTCGATAAAAAACGAGACTGAATGCGCAGTGTAGGATGATTGTACTGCGAACCGTTTTCCACGCGCTGGAGTAAGTTATGAATAAGCCATGAAGGTGAAATTTTTTTCATACAAGAGTAATAACTGATCTCAATGCTGCCACCTGCCTGGTTTAAGGGAAGTGGGCCGGTACATGGTACCAAATTCGAGTATATGCACGAAAACTTACACTTTCGCGCACTCCCAAACACATTTTTATTTCGGTTTATGACATTCTGTAGCCAGAAGATTTGTTTACACTGGTGTGAAAACCGTTTGTGCGCGCAACATCCGGTTCGGGAGTTATGGCTGTAAGAAAATTCCAAAAAGTTCAAATGCATTCAGGTGTACCAAAAGTCTCATTATGGACCGATCTCCTTCAAATTTTGCACGTAAATGCACATAACCAAGACGATCGTTTTTACACCGATCCAGACTTCCGTGATTTTTTTTAAATTTTAAAATGAATTTTAAAATTTTTGAAATTCATTTTAAAATTTGAAAAACATGCTAGAACAGTGGATCGGTGTAAAAACGATCTTCATGGTTATGTGCATTTACGTGCAAAATTTGAAGGAGATCCGTCCATAACGAGACTTTTGGTACACCGGAATGCATTTAAACTTTTTGGAATTTTCTAACAGTAATAAGTCCCGAACCGGATGTTGCGCGCAC